CAGTAGTCTCCAAAAATGCAGCGGTGCTACCCTTCCCCTTTTATTATCTACAATATGAATTCTTATATGATTTAGGCCTTTGAGAAATAGTTGATATAGTTAGGCTGAAGAGTCATGTTCTTTAAAAAGTAGACATGGGCCCTGGCCGGTTTGGCTCAGGTTAGAGCGTCAGCCCGCGGACCTGAGAGTCCCGGGTTCGGTTCCCACTAAGGGCATGTACCTTGGTTGCAATTTGTCCCCGGCCCCAGCTGGGGTCGTGTGAGTGGCGGCCACTCAATGTATCTCTCTCTATGTTTCTCTCTCTCTCTTCCTCCCTCCCTCCTGCTCTATCTGAAGATAAATGCAAAAGTGTCCTCGGGTGAGGATTTAAAAAAAAAAAAGTAGACATGGGATTTGGGAGTCACGCAATCCTAGGACCGTCTAGGTGTCTGTGGGGCCACTCGCCCGACTCCTTTAACTCAGTATCATTACTGTAAACCACTGACCAAGTCCATGGGCAGGCAGCTGGACCAACTAGATAGTTAGATGGACTGTCGGGCCTGTTTGGTCAAATGTTTAGATGACTTTGCAGGGATGATAGCACCTATTAGATGCATAATATTCAAAATTAGGTAATAAATGTTCCTGAGTGGGGCCGTCACAAGACCTGTGGCTTACGAGTCAGACAAGCTGAGCCTGCTGCCTGAATTCCACGGGGTTCACAGACAGCTGCCGTCTTGACAGCTTGAATTCCTGCCACGTGATACAGAAAACAGCGTGTTAGACATCAGCCCAGAGGCCCGTGGTCTCGCAGGCCCTGGACGGCGTGGCAGACTGGACACCACAGCACCAGGCTTTTGTTTTCTGCCCCAGGAGAAGCTGGGACTTCACTCTGCTGCGGAACAGGCTGCGCCCCACAGGCAGTGTTGCGGGATCAGGGGTTTTCTGTTGGCCTGGCACACTTTATTAATTTACATATTTATTGACTTATTTATTTCTAATTGAATGTATTGGGGTGGCATGGGTTAATACAATTTTATAGGTTTCAGGGGCATAATTCGATAACACATCATCTGTATATTGTATCAGGTGTTCACCACCCCAAGTCAAGTCTCCCTCCATCACCATTTATCCCCCTTTACCCTCTTCTACCTCCCCACCCCCCTCTGGAAATCACCTTACTGTTGTCCAGGATTTTGTTTGTTTGTTTAATCCCTTCACCATTTTCACCCAGCCCTCCCTCCCCCGACAGCTGTCAGTCTCTTCTCTGTGTCTATGAGTCTGTATCTTTCTCTGACTGGCCTTCTTACACCATGCACAAGAATAAACTCAACATGGATTAAAGACTTAAATGTTAGACTCAAAACCATAAAAGTCCTAGGAGAAAATATAGGCAGTATCATCTCGGACATTCTTGTAGCAATATTTCTTGTGATGTATCTCCTCGGACAAGGGAAACAAGAGAAGAAATAAACAAATGGGACTATATCAAACTAAAAACAAGGTGTGCACAGCAAAGGTCTGACTTGTTTCTGTGGTTACAGTGCTGCTCCTGGGGGCTGGGGGAGTGTGCATGTGTGCCACTGTGCACCCCTCTGTCATGGGAACCCCAGGGGTGCTCCGAACGGGCAGGGTCAGGGGAAGTCTTGGCAAATGGGAGGTTCAACAGCAGGTACTGGGGACTCTCCTTGGAGACAGGGGCTCAAGAACACAACTCTGTTGCCTGGAGAGACCCAGGGCAACCAGAGGGGAGGAAGGGCCTCAGGCCTAGGGAAGGAAGTGGGGTCACAGCTGGACCTAAAGTCATGGAACAGAGAGAAGGGCTCAGGGGACAAGGCATCCAAGCCCAATGGAGGCATCATGCCGAGGAGATGATGATGATGATGATGATGATGATGATGATGGGTCCAGAGCCTGGGCTAGGCTGAACTGAGTGGAGCCTAAATGGCCCCTGTTGCCAAAGGCAAAGGGCAACATGCAGAGGGAGCCAAGATCATCATTACCCAGCGGAGTCTGATCCGTGGACTTTTCTGTACAAGTCATAGGCTATGGCTCCACGAACACACACCCAGGTAGCCAGCTCAGATCAAGACAGAACGTTCCTGGCAACCCCTTCGTGTCCCCTCTGGTCATCCCCACCACGCCAAGGAAACCACAGCCTGACTTCTAACCTCTGAGATTCAGACCCGAGGTTTCTAAAAATTCCAGTTTCTCACATGTCTACGTCAGGAAGCCTGCGTTTCTGCCATCCTTGGGAGAGTCGGATCCAGCAGCCCCGGCTGTGGGCTCCCTCCAGGCAGAGGCCGGAGGTCGGCGCTGCTGCCCCTCGGAGCGCGGCCTCTCCCGCCCCCAGGCTCGCCTTGTTCTGTCACCTGCCTGGCCTGCTGGCATCAGACCTTGTAGCTCTTGTCTTTTTCCATCTCTTGATTCCAACTTCAATGCCTTTGTACTTTTGACCACTCCAAGCCTTTTGTACACCAAGGTAGTATTGGACAATACATAGATCAAATAGGAAAACAAGCCCTGGCCGGTTTGGCGCAGCGGTTAGAGCGTTGGCCTGGGAACCAAAGGGTCTCAGGTTCGATTCCTGGTCAAGAGCACGTACCTAGGTTGCAGGTTTGATCCCCCGCCCTGGTCAGGGTCATGCGGGAGGCGCCCAGTCTATGTGTCTCTCTCACATTGATGTTTCTCTCTCTTTGTCTCTCTTTCCCTCCTCCCTAACCTCCCCCTCTAAAAAAAAACAAAAAACAAGATTTTCTCCTGGTTTATCTCACTTCTCCATTTTAAACAAATGCCCTGTGATTCCCTCAGTTGGCCCGGATTTATGTAGGTATCTGGTCAAAATAATACAGGATGTTCATCTACATCGAGTGAAATGAGCACTCAGAATGGGATTTAACACCTGAGTTCTGCTCTCACGTTCTGCCGGGACTAGTTCCGGCAACTTATGTGATGCTTCAGGGCTTTATCGTTACCCCGTGAGGACGTGGCCTAGATGACCTCTCGGGTCCGGTACGTTGGGCCATTTTGTGGTTCTGTGGGCCTTCGCTGAGGCAGGCAGGTGCGCGGACGGCGTCTGCGGTCTCCCTCGCGTCCTGCTGGGGACACGCGCGTGGCTGTGGGCTGGGTGGTGCCCGCTGGGACTCTGGAGCCCGAGGCACACCAGGGGCCGGCCGGGGGGTGGCTCCTGCAGGCAGGAGATTTGGGCCCCGCTGTCTGTGCAGAAGGGAAAACCATAATACAACGGACTTAAAATGGTCAGTGTTAACTTTATTTTTATTGCTGACACTATTATAGATGTCCCCGTTTCCTCCCCCTTTGCCCACCGCCACCCAGCCCCCTCCCGTCCTGTCCTCTGGCCATCACCCCACTGTCCTCCGTGTCTGTGGGTTATGCATGTACGTTCCCGGGCTAATCCCTTCACCTTCTTCCACCCAGTCCCCCACCCCTGTCCCCTCTGACAGTTGTCAGTCTGGTCCATGTGTCCATGCCTCTGGCTCTATTTTGTTCATCGGTTTATTCTGCTCGTTAGATTCCACACATAAGTGAGATCATAGGGTACTTATCTTTCTCTGACTGGCTTATTTCATTTAGCATAATAATCTCCAGGTCCATCCATGCTGTCGCAAAAGATGAGGTTTCCTTACGTCAGTTTTTCCTTCTCACCATTGGCCAGCAATTCTCAACAATGTGGGAGCTAAAATACTCCTCCCCCAGAGAGACCAGAAGAGATTAACTAAAGAATTTATATGCACATATGCATTGCCCATGGACACAGACAATAGTGTGGTGGAGGCCTGGGGTGGGGCAGGGCTGGGTAGAGGGGGGAAAGGAGGGAAAATGGGAGACGTCTGTAATATTGTCAACAATAAGAAAGAATTCTCCTCCCAAAGCTCTTTGTGGGCTAAGTTCTAAACCATTGCTACAGTCCCGTTGAGTTTTAGTGGCTTCGAGGGAAGCTTTATGTGAGCACGGGTTTAGCAATGGTTTCTTGCTAACCTTGTGTTGTACGTGTACAGTGTCAGCCCCTGGGACACAAAGATGCCACTGTTTCCGCGTCTGGGAGAAAGTTCTTAACTGTTTGAAATATCCTGGGAGAGCTCCTGGTGCCGACTGCCCCCGCTGGCTGGAGACGATGTTTTCCTGCATTGAAACGGCGGGTTCACAGGGCACGGTGACAGCCCGGCCACTGCCAAGGGGCGGCAGAGCAGCGAGCCCTCAGAGGTTGTGAAACGGTGAACGACAAGGAAGAACGCTTTCCTTTCCTAAGCGCACGTTTTAGTTTGTACGTGCACCGTGTCTGGACAAAATATTTGAAGCTAAAATATATCCCCTTTCGGTCATTAATTGTTTTAAAACTAAAGACTGAACCAAGAAAATAGTGATTATTACTGAAAGTAATTTTGACCTAGGAGAGGGGTATTAAAAAGTGATCTGTGCCCTGGCCGGTTTGGCTCAGCAGTTGGAGCGTCGGCCTGCGGACCAGAATCCCGGGTACGGTTCCTGCTGGGGGCTCGTACCTCGGTTGCATTTTGTCCCCGCCCTGGTTGGTGGTGTGGGTGGCGACGGGTCGATGTGTCTCTCACATCGATGTTTCTCTCTCTCTCTCTTCCCCCTGTCTCCCTCCTGCTCTATCTGAAGATGAATGCAAAAATGTCATCTTGTGAGGACTAAAAAAATAAAATAAAATAAAAAATAAAAAAAGTGATCTGTGTTAGCCCTGGCTGGTTGCTCAGTGGTTAGATCACTGGCCCACGGACCAGTGAGTCGTGGGTTCGATTCTGGTCAAGGGCACGTACCTCGGTTACAGTTTGTCCCCGGCCCTGATTGGGGTCATGCGGGAGGCAGCCACTCGATGTGTCCCTTTCATGTCAATGTTTCTCTCTCCCTCTCTCCCTCCCACTCTATCTAAATAAAAAAATGGAAAAATGTCCTCTGGTGAGGATTTTTAAAAAAAAAAAATCTTTGTTAGGTGTGATACACTCCTACAGCCCATTGTTCTCTCCTCACGTTTGTACTAGTGACCGGCCAGCACCCTCCCAAGAACAAGCGTGCAAAGGAGCCTGGAGAGAACAGGATCAAGCCCATCACCAAAAAGGTGAAGCCCAAGATTCCTAAAACAAAGGACAGGGACTCGGCCGAGTCACCACCCAAGCGGCAATCCATAATGATGCAGATGACGGATCAAGGTCGCTTCCAGAAACCCTCGGCCACCCTGAGCCTGCCGGCTGGGCAGACCCTCGAGCTTCGATGTAAAGGGAGTAAAATCGGATGGAGCTACCCCGCCTATCTGGACACCTTCAAGGACTCCCGCCTCAGGTAGGCACGTGCTGTTTTGTGTGTTTTGTTTCATTTTTACTTCCATTGGCTGAAGGGTTTGGGTTCGTCCTCCCATCAAATATTGTATTGCTTCTGACGTCTACCCTTTCACTCTAACAGCTTATAGAAATGGAAGCTCAGTGGGCAAAAGCCATCGATTTTATTTCTTTGACCAGTTAAAAACATATTGCCAATCCTATCAACATTGGTTAAAACAGTGACATTTTATAGGACCCAGATGACAAAGAATTGAAACTGTGACGCATGGAGATAGATATTTAAGAATTCGAATGATGAAGAAGAATGGAGCCAATGCTTTATGTGGTGTTTTAAGTAATCGTAATGAAAACGAAAGTGACCTCACAGGGGTCTCCTATGAGCAACTTGACCAGAGACCAGTTTAAACTGTTTCTGAACTTTTCAACTGCTTTCGGTTATTTTTACTTTCCCTGTTATGTGACTTGTATGCAGAGGCTTCAGTTGGTAGGAAGGCTGACGATTTCTCGTTTGAATGAATCCTTTCAGGAGGCTGGTTTCTTGTGCAGGAAAGTGGTTAAGATGAACCTGAGAACTGTGAAAGGCAAGAAAACAGAGCTTCACCGGGTACCGGGAGGGGCCTGTGGGGCAGGGGACGCAAGTCCTGTGTGTCCTTGGCAAAGTCCCCTGACCTCCTTGTGTCTCAGTTTTCACATGAACATAATGAACTACAGAATTTTTTATTTTATTTTTTTTATGCTCACCTGAAGACATTTTTTCATTTTTTTGTTCAGATAGAATAGGAGGGAGAGAGAGGAAGAGAGAGAGAGAGAGAGAAGCATCGACGTGAAAGGGACACATCGAGTGGCTGCCACCCACACGACCAACCAGGGCCGGGGACAAACTGCAACCGAGGTGCATGCCCTTAGCGGGAACCGAACCCGGGTCTCTCCGGACCGCAGGCCGACACTCTAACCACTGAACCAAACCGGCCAGGGTTGAACTACAAAATTTTTAAGATTCTGCCCATTTCTTCTCATGATTTAGGATAGAGAAAGACAGCATATTGTCTGTTTGGGATGACTGGGGCGGAAGAGGAAGGAATGTGGATCCCAGGCATCCCAGACTCCGCATGTTCACGTCAGAGCCATGTATCTGCACACACGCCACCTCCGATCTTCCCTTCCCTCAAGGACACCACCACCCGCCCAGTTGCTGAGCCACCTGGTGGGCATCCTTGCCTTGTCCTTCTCCCGACTCCCCACATCCAATCAACCACCAAGTTCAGCCTGTTCAGCCTTCCCGTGAGCCATCAGCCTGTCCGCTGTCCATCTCCGGTCACTGCCCCAGTGCAGCCGGTGTCGTCCTCCTCACCATACTGCAGCCACCACGCCCAGACGCGTCCTGCCCCAACCCCTCACTGCCGCTGAGTGGTGTTTGAAAACTGCTCGTCTGATCATGTCACTCCCTACTTATCACTCGGTGGGTTTCCACTGGGGATAAAGTCCAGCATAGTCCCCTGGAAGCTGGCACCCTCCCTGCTGTCCACAGTCTCTCTCAAGTCACCTCCCCGTCTAGATTAGTGTCTCTGCCTCTGCTGGCTGGGCTCCGAGACACTGGGCTTCACGCTCTCAGGGCTTAAAACGTCCCTGGGCCCGCTCTTGGCCCCTGTTCACCTGGCTCACTTCCGCCCCGGGTCACTTTCTCCGGGAAGCCTGTGCCAGCCTCCCTAGGTTTACTCCACGGCCTCCGGGGCACCCTCTTTGAAAACGCCTCATCTTTGTGTCTGCATATACATATATATATATTTTTTGTAATCTGTGTTTTTCGCTGGGGCTTAACTAAGTGCTTGGCATTTCGCTTTATGTATTGAATGATGGAATGACGATCTTTTCCCTTCTTCACACACATACACACACACACACACACACACACACACAGACACGCATGCACCTTGGAGGATAAATAAATGAAAATATATGTATAAGCAATCTCTATCTAACCTCTGGCGTTAAGACCTCTTTCACATTTTATTCTGAAGTACTGTTCTGGCTCCACAGTGTGTACTAGTGTAAGGTTTTTCTAAAGGAATATTAGGTTGGATGAGGAGTAGGGGGGAGGGAATGAAACAGTTTTTCTCATTTTGATCACACCTGAAATACGCACGTGTGTGGAACAAACCTGGAACTGTTTATTTCCATAAACGTTTAAATATCTTAATTTACCAAAGTAAAATGTGTACACTTTAAGTAAAAAAAAAACAGAATGGAGCTGTTTTAAATTATTCGGAACATTTAGTCTTTGACCAACACAAAGTATCCTAAACCTAGATGATTTGCTCCTTAAAGATTTAATATTTTCTAGGAGCATTTTTAAAGTGATGTTAGCCAAAATATGTTTGAAAATATCTTAAGGACTCAAGGTAAAGTGAACATGAATCTGAATTGAAAAGAAATATCCAGTAGCTGAAAAAGCCAATTTTGACTTCACATTAAATAGATTCATTCAAAGCACAGGGAGGGCTTTATACGAAAGTAAGGACAGATGTGGGCCCCCAATGACCTCGTGAAAACATGTGAAAAATGTGAAAAACATCTAGTCCTAACTCTGTATCACACAACAACAACAAAAATCACGATTTATTTGACACCAGAGGTTCAGCAAGTCGACTCCTGACCCGTTTCCCGGAACGTGGTGTCTTTGGACAGAAGAGCAGCATTCATCCCCAGTTTTCTTTCCTGTGGAATGAGTCCATCGTTCACAGCTCTGGGGTTGGACGCTCCCCAGGTGTGCTTCCAACAAACCCCGGTCATTTTAAGCAATTTTGGTAGCTTTCTGGAACAAAGTCCACATGCCGCCGTATTGGGCCAGGTTTAACCCTCTGCCCAGAGGAGGGAGCGTGCTGTGGAACAGAGAGGTCAGGCGGATGCACAGCTGGATTTAAATCCCATCTTCACCACTAACCAGCAAGGTCATCTTCGATCAGTCATTTCCCTAGAATCCGGTTTCCTCTTCTGGAACATGGAGATAATACCTGCCTATGGTAAGCGCTGCCTGGCCCATGGTAAACGTTCAATAAATTACAACTAGTGTTGCTAGGCAAAAGTATTTCTCCAGCTGATCTCTTGAGACATTTAATTCTGACCCAGAGTGACACAAATCAGGGAATGGTACACAGCCGCACAGAGAGGACCCAAGAAAGTCTGTCCGCTTCTCGCCCACTTTTATTTCATTGGCCAGTTCTTCGCAAGCTGGGGCCTGTGTCCACCCTCCGCCGTGAACGCATAAGCCTCGTGAGGGCAAACGCCGCCTGTTTGGGTCATCGTCAGCTTCCCAGCACCTGGAGTGCTGCCTGCCCATACCAGAACTCAGGAACTGTCTTCCTGTTCCCCTGGGGTTTCGTGGTCATGTCAGAATCAGCTGCTAGTCACGCATGCGTTCATTCATCTGACAGTTAAAGATAATCACACGTAGTGATGACGTTTATTGGAAGGAGGGTAACAACAAGCTATAGATGTATTTTGTATGTAGGGCCCGGTGGCCCCTGGATTTGTCCCTGTGATCTCAGAGTCGGGTGATGTTGACCCTCCTCACCCACCCTCGCCCCTCGGTCTTCACTCCTCTCCGTCTCTTAGACTCCGGGGTCTGTCATTTCTACTCGACTCCTGCGCACGTCAAGGAAGGCATTTTGCCGTCTGTTTTCCCTCACTCCCGTTTGGAAATTTCCAGCCCCGAGTGAACCTGTTTACCCTCTGTCTCCGGGCACTGCTAAGGAGACCGTGCGGCTGGCCGGACGGGTGCCATTAGTTCGAGGTCACCTCGCCTGTGCCTGGCAAAGCTCAAGACATTTCTCTAGAGAGCTCACTTTTTTCCTCTGAAATCTCGGGCTTCTATCGCTCTCACTTTCAGCCAATAAAATCATCCCCTAATTTACCGAGAAATGTGAACCCTAGAATTGCCTCTTATCACCTCTCTTTCTTCCCTGCTCGCACAGGTCTCGTGGAGAAAGAGTCTGAACCCTTGGGCAGGGCCAGAGCCTCCCTGTGCCCTGGAGCTTGTCCTTACGTGCTTTCTCGGGAACTCAATAGGGCAGTCACTGCCTCGCTGTTCCGGTCGTCACCCTCCCCTTCTCCGCGGGATTCCTTCCGTAAATCTTGTCCATGTTAGAAAATCCCATCTCAGTCCCCAGGTGCCCTCTGGCCACCTCCCTCTCTCCTCTTACCTCCGCAGCCAAGCCCCTTGGAGGAGTCCCTGCATTCCCGCCTCACCCGCTGCACCTGATACCTGCCCCAGCCCCACATGCATTTATCACCAAGGTCGAGGTCACTAAGTCCAGAATTCACTTTTCAGTTCTTTTATGGCTGCTCCGTTGCAGAAGGGGACTCTCTGCTTGGCTTGCACAACACCATGTTTCTGGTGGTCTTCCTGCCTCCCCGGCCCCTCCTCACAGCATCGTTGACCAGCTGCGTACCCTCCACTGTTCCAGGGAGTACGTGTTGGTTCTGTGCCCTCTGCTCGCTGCCGAGTGCCCTTCGTGGTCGTGTGTTAGATGAAATGTTCCTTCTGAGCTCTAGACTGAACCCTCCAACTGCCTGGGTCTTTCAGGAGCCTTTCTCACAATGAAACCATCTGAAACTGAGCTCAGGATCCTTCTGCACGCCTGGTCGTCTTCCTGCGGCTTTGAGTTTATGACTGGCACGAATTCCATCCGGTGGCCCTTGACCACAGGCCTGGAAATCACGCTGGACGCTTCCCCTTTACTTCTAGTCAACCACCACGCCCCGGTGGTGCACAGTTCGCCTCGTGGGTCTCCCCGCTCCTTTGCACCACAGAACAGTAACCCCGTCTCTTAGTTACAGCCGTCATCACGTAACGGGCCTGTGCACCCCAGCTTGACCTCAGCTCTCCACGGCCGTCAGCTTTCACAGACACTTTCCTGCTTCCAGCCCTTCCGTGGGGCTTCCTGTTGCTCTTAGAACAGAGTGGAAACTCCTCACAAGACCCTGCCTTGCCCTCTGCCCATT